TTGGATATTAGGAAAAATTTCTTCACTGAAAGGGTAGTCAGGCACTGGAACAGGCTGCCCAGGGAAGTGGTTGAGTCCCCAACCCTGGAGGTATTTAAAAGATGCGCGGATGTGGCACCTAGGGACATGGCTGAGTGGTGGACTTGGCAGTGTTAGGTTAATGGTTTGACTCGATGATCTTAAAGGTCTTTTCCAACCTAAATGATTCCATGATACTGGTGAAAAAAATAATCCTATTTATTAAATCCCAATTGCAAACTAGAGCAGAAATCGGCATTAGATGTGACAAGCACACTTAATTGGTTAAATGGACAGTATGTCCCCCTATGCATATGTTGATCAAGAAGTAAAATAGCCTGTGGCAGTACTGTGCTAATCCTCTAGCAGGCTGTTGAAAGGGTCACCTTTCAGATGTGAGTAAATTCTGAAGTCTGGATCACAGTTTATGATCTCACAGCAAGTTCTCTTTAGTATTAGTAGCCTCATGCCACCGGCTATTTATACTGTATATGAGATTAGCCTAGCTTTTTAACGGGACTAGATATTCTCTGCACTAAATCTCATAGCCATGGCTAGGGCTGCCTGATTCAGAAGCAGGAGTCAGCTGACACTATTTATGCTCACCTCTCTCTTTTTCTCCGAGAATCTCTGTCTTTGCCTCTTTCGCGACTCCTTTTTCGTTTACTGGGACTCCTGCTGGTCTCTCTCCTATGTCTGCTGTGTTCAGTGTCCTTGTAGCTTCCTCCAGACTGCCGTGACTCCACTGAAGCTGACCGCCTGTCTTCCTTTCTGAAAAAAAGGTTATTGATTTTATTCAATAAAGATAGTTTCACAGTCACTATTGTTTTCAGTACCAGTTTTGTAATATAATGACCTAGTAATGGTATAACACAGAGGATATATCTTTTATTAAGCCTCTCTGTCTCCCCAAGAAATACCATACCTCCCAAAACAGGCCCAAAGTCCATGCTCTTATATGTGCACATCTCAGCACACTACTTAATCCAGCTAGTTGTTACAAACGCTGCCCCTCAGTCTTATCACCTCTGCTCGTGAAACAGGAGACGGTAGAAGGGGTTCACTCTTGTTTCGCTTTCAATCCCTAACTCTTCAACCACCTGCCTTAAGCCGATACCTACAGTGGGAGAACCCAGCCAGCCTGATCTCCTGTACGGCCTTTTCATTCACCTTCATTTTAATGCTGAAAACAAACACCTCGAGTGTCACCTTTTAGTTTGTTTCAACAACATTTTCATCTCAAAGATCTCCTGAAGAAGCACAAATAGACTATCACCAGGTCATGATGCCATTTTTATTTCAGCAACAAATGTTTGGAAGAGTGTGCAGTGTTGCTTGACACAGGAAGAAATACGTGTACGTAAAACACACTCCCAGTTAGCACAGCAGCACTCACGGTGATAAGAACTGTAAAGCGTCCACGTGCTTAGTAAGTTATGAAAACCTTTTCTCTGAGGTATTTTGTATTATAATATATCTACCATAGCATGTCCTGTCATGGGGTAGGGAAGGGAAAGAAATTGCGCATTTGTATTTTCAAGTGCCATTCTGTCCGCAGCTATCACATATATATATGCGCGTCTGGACACAGAGGGAGCAATATTCATTCCCCAGCTCCACTAGAAACTACCTGTTCACCTGGATCACTTGCAGCTTACCTCCTTACCCCTGAAAGAAAGTTAATAACTCATTTTTCCCCCATCCTTCATGCAGACAGAGCTTCTCAAGCAAGAGCTTAACAGAACTAGTATAAAATAAAGTGTGTGTATGTCTCAGCCAAGGTTGGTATGGGCTATTGGAAAGAGGTGATAGGATAAAGTTACAGGCTACCAGGCTGCTGACATCCCTGAGGAATTTGCCCACAGTGACATACCTTCCTGAAGATTTTGACTTCCCTCCTTCACATGTCTCTGCATTATCCAGCCTGTTCTCCTCCTGCCAGTGATTGCTGAGTTCTTCCATATGCACACCAATCACATCCCGAATCACCTGGAGATTAAGACATATTAAAAACAAACAACAAAAAAAGCAGTATGTCCTGGTAGTGGCCTGAACTAGCAACTAGACAGCACAAGGTATACATCTCAACAACAAAATTCCCCCCAAACCTCGACATCAGATGTTTTGATGGAAAGTCTTATCTGCAGAAACAGGCATTTCAGCATAAATTTAATAGCATCATTTTACAACAGACAGTAAACTATATCTTATTGGTATTTTCACATTCAAAATTTAAAAATCAGAAATGCTCCTGTTATTTTTAATTTGCTGCAACAAACCAAAACAAAAAAAAAAGATTCCTCTATAGTTTGCAACTCTAATAAGGCAGTGGAAAAAGAGACATTTTCCTTGTCTAAAAGGGTATACCATTGCTAATGCTGATATGAGTACTTCTGTGCAAAAAACTCATAGCTGTCTCTTCAGATACTCACCTCAGTGTAAGACTTCTTTGTTATATGAACATTCTTAGCCCTGTACGACTGCCGCCGCCTTTTGTAGTCTCGCATTTCAGCCAGAATTTCAAGATGGGACTTTGGACCTTTCTGACTATCATCTAATGAAAAATTGGAAGTAAAACAAATAGTCATTAGCAGGACATTAGCACCTGCAGGTATGCAAGTCTGGTACTTTAGTAAGAAGTCTGACGCATAAAACATCTTGTGTTCTTTCCGAAGTTTCTCCAGTCTTTAGTAATTATGATGAATTGAGCACAACCTTCCTCTCCAGCCTTGTTGCTAGCTGTTTACAAAAGACTAAAAAGCCACCAAGCCAATGTTGTTATGTGATCTCAGTCTCCCGACAGTGATCCAAATCAATATACGGGCTTGTGATTTGGTCAAACACCTGCAACATACAGGCCTTGTTTTCAAAGCCAGTATTACAATAAGGCACAGAGATTGAGAAAGCCAGATTATGTAAAACATTTGCCTGTGTAGACGGCAAACGCTGTCTCCTACCCCCTAGGCATAGCAGGGCCCAGAGGATAACACAGATGCTTATGTTGCACTTGGTATAGTTACAAACCGGCATGACTCAACAGGGATACACCCATTTGTATATTGCTCAAGAGCTCCATCGGGCGACTGCCAACCTTTCTTGTTCGGCTTTTGCTCTCAAGTGATCTTTAATCTCATCATCTCTTACAGCGAATACTGCTCCAAGCTGCGCAGTGAGTTGGCAACATTAAGCAACCTGAAGTCAGTTGCAGGAAAAACAAAAGATCCATCCACTCGGGTACCCACAATACGTGTGCCAAGAGCAGAGCACCAAGGCTTTCTCAGAAGGAAAACAACATAAAGGATAGCAAACTAGTGTTTTCTGATGCCAGGTTTTCATTGTGGCTTTTAAGAACAGTATGCTTTTCACAATAAAAATACCATAAGAAATTCTGTTTGGCTTTCAACAAAACTCATCTAACTACACAAAGTCGAAGTTCTGAGCCATAAATTCAATAGTAGACTGTTCTTCAAACCTTGGGTGATTTTCGCTGCTAAATCCACAAAGAGGTCACTGTCATTTTCCACAATTTGGGATCTAGACCTCTGTTTCTTTGTTTCCTCAACAACATAATCATAAAGAGCAAGGCGATCAGCTTGAGTCAGGTCACAGGTGAAACGCTTGTGATTTTGAGGAACTTCTACGGGCAGTAATGAGTAAGATCCTGGAAGTTGAACAGCTGTTATTAGTAAAATAGCATAATTATACAAGGAAACACTGACAAACTCAACAAACAAACAATGCAGTAAATACTCATGCTGTTTTCATCCTTCCCCTACAGATCTGTAAGAAGTTTCATCCTTCTTAATTTGAAAGGATAAAAATTGCTAAAAAAAAAAAAAAGGCCCAAATCCCTTCCCAGCCCCACGCAGGTGGTGTCACCTCTCTTGACTGCTTACACTGTAAGTTACAGGTTCTCATATGCTTCGAAGGGAACGCACCAGATTAGATCAAAAGGACACGCTGTATCGTCCCATCAATTTCAGCTCTTGGCTTACAAGCGAAAGCAAGAGAGAGGAGGCTGCAGCTCTAACTTGTGGGTTTGTCTTCACTCCTAACATTTTCTGTAAAGTACTAGCTGCAAAATACCCGTTGTTCTGCCAACAAAAACGAAAGCTTCTAGGAGACCAGATAACTGGCACTGTGCAAATCAGTTTCACTCACGCTGTCACTTTCTCTACGGAGCTTTTATAACAGACTGCCACAGGCTTTCATAGCTACAAGGGCTACAAAGACACTTGCAAGATGCTCCAGATTAGTTCAGATAACTAGCTTTAAAGTTACGGAAACACACGGCCTGCACAGTCTTCTTTCCCTGAGTGATCAGCCCAGTACTCACTCTTCCCATTCCCCAGTTAAAACACACACCCTCCAAACAAACAATAAATCCATTCTCAATCCATTGCGACAGCAGCAAAGCCGCTTCCCCAAAGACACAGGATGCAGTACGCTAGGATATTGCCTGCAGAAAAGCATTTTACTCGAGACCATTCAAATTCCCAGCAACCATTGACCTGACCGCCATAATCCTGCTCCCCACAACGCAGCCTCCTCCCTGCAAGGCACAATCCCACACAGACGTACGCCTCCAGGCAGACAGAAGAGCCCACAGGTAAGACAGGGTGTATGCCACCGGAGTCTTCCCAACAGCAAGGCTACAGCTCCTCTAGATCATTCAGCACTTAACAGAAGCCGAGCAATCTTTCACATCCTGCTTTCACTAAAGACACCAAACAAGAGGGAGTGGAGCCGCAGTAACTCTGCAACAACAAACCTAAAATACAGTATTTCCTTATTATTATACTTGGAGCCTAAACCAGAATTTTTCTAATCCGAACTAACAGATTTAAACACGAACACTAAAATTTTATTTTTAGAATGCACTGTTCTCACAGGGTCATGGAAGCCCATAAAAGTGCCCTAATAGTTACGTGCTTGTGATCTCACAAGAATTTCATGCCTTGTGATTAAGACCAGCTTTTCTGTCCTATTATCTAGCTATTCTAATAGTCTAAATATTGTTAGAACTTTTTTAAAAAACAAAGAAAGAAAATTACTTCCTTTGATACAGTTAGTCAAAAGGAAATTTACAATGAAAAATGCTTTCCATCTGTTTCTGTTGCCAAAGACTTCAAATCAAACAAACAATTCCAAGTCTGTAAATCTTACAATAGGCCAAGATGCCACGATGAAAACCACCCCGATACAGTTTTAGCGTTATTTTCAGAGAAATGCAGCTTGCAGTGAAAATTGGACAGCAAACACTGGCATCTAGTGGCTCACTGATGTATCTTTGTGATGCACCACTTGATAAAGGGTTTTATCTGTTTCTTCTCTACTTGGATGTGCTTGTGTCACAAATTAATGAGTTACCACTTCCCTCCAGAGAAAATTTACCCGACGTGCTCCAAACACAGTGCCCATCGCATCAAAGCTCCTTCCCAAGCAACTCCATTTAAGTTAACTCCAGTTAAGGCTCCATTTGCTATGCCGCAGAAACAAAGACAACAGGAAAACTATGCCTGAGCAAGTGCTGCTGTATTTGACTGTCAGGAAAGTAGAACAAATGCACTTTTCCTTCTGCACATATAGGTTTACCAAACTAAAGGACTACAGACAGTAAACGCTGTATCTCTCAGGTGCTGCAGGAATTTCCGAACCAGTTCTACAGTGGGTTCTATAGGCCACCCTACCTTTCTACTCTGTCTTGGGCTGAACTCTCAAAGAGAGTCTTAACCTGGTCCCCAGACTGGTCACAAAACCCACTGGAAAATGAAACATAAAGGAACTAATGAGGAGTAGTGCTTTAAGAAACTCCTGAATTTTGCAGTGTTGGTTTTCCAGTCCTGAAGAGAACTAGAGGTATGAGCACAACAGACTCAAATTCTCTTATCTAGTTGCCCCGAGCAGAGAAAGTAGTTATGGTCCAAAATATACAAGGGAAGGAATATTAAAAATAAATCAAAAAAAGTCCTCACAGCAGTTCACAATTAGAATGAAGGAAGCTGCAAGGGGGGACACAAGAGCAGCTCTCACATAAGAGCTGATAAAGTTGTCTCAGTATCAGCTTGCTACTTACCTTCACTGTAGCCTGTACCTTCTTTCGCACTTTGAGCTCTAGCTTGCTTAACAATGTGCAACTGTAGTTCTTTATCTGCAGACAGAGAAGACAAACATATCACAGAACTTTTAGTTGAGTGACTGAGTACATGGTAGGGTTAGTCTTTATTCCCCAACCTCTATCATGAAACTTATTTTACAGAACATTGGACTTTTATTTATGCATAAGGGAGAGTCCGATCTAAGAAGATCATTTTAATCTATTCCGTATTTGAACTGGGGAGGGGGAGAGAGAGAGAGGGGGAAGAAGAAAGATTTCCAGGTTACAAGGATATGGAAAAAGAAATGTATGTATACTGCAGTTCTCTTTGTACCATTACTATATCCCCAAACTCTAGGGCCAGTTTTTCCACCTTCTAAGCGTATGTTTTAATACACTTTCAGCATTTGATGCAAGGTGAACATTGGAAAAACCTGGAAAATAACTTAAGAGGGGAAAAAGGACCCTCCTTGGATTTTAAAATGAAAACGGCCAAGTGACCTACAGAACAGATGCATAATAATGGCAAATTAAGGCAAAGCACAAAGGTGAGAAAATAAACCTCCTGATGGAAACACTTAGTTTTTCTAAGAGGACTTGGAAAGTTTATAGCTGGCAAGGCAGCGGGGTGGGCTACCGCAAGGACCGGGACTCTGCCCCCCCGGGGTCTCCCCTCAGCCCCAGCTGCCCCCCACCCCGGGGGCGCGGAGGGCCCCGTCAGGCAAAGCCCCGCTGCCGCTCACCCATGGCGACGCTGGGAACCTTCAGGTTTTCGTAGAAAAATCTGGAGTCGTACATCTCAGCCTGCGGGACCAAGAGGCTCGGTCAAGGCCCCGGGGCC